TCAATTAATTTAGCTTAAAGGTTTAGATTTCATATTTTTAATTATCCTTGTACTTGCTTTATTTTGGAGGAAAACTTCCATGAATTTACTTTATAAAATAACATTGCAATAAACTCATACAAAAAAAAAAAAGACGCCTAACCCCAACTTGTAGAACTGGAAGTTGGGATATTGTGGCACCAAAAATAAAACTGATGGAACAAAAAGGGAATTTCATGTGGTTTTCATTGTCAAGTCTAAGCTCAGAAACAAACAGGAAATAAAAATGGCTAAAACAAAAGAGATTTCTTTTAAAGTGTGTTCAAGTCTAAGCAGGGAGCTGCTTTATTTGGGAGGGATTCTCTGTTTATTTGTTTTTTCAGAAAGAGGAGTAAATAAAAATGTCCACACACAGACAGGTCAATTTGATTTACAGTTATATCTGCATGCTTCTCACTGGGCATTTTTAATAAGCCTTTTTTAAGGAAAATGCTTGCATAAATAGCAGCAGCATTGGAAGGGGGAGAAAAGACAATGGGAGGAGGGTGTTCCTTCTTCTTGAGATGAGATTGGGAGGAAAAGGAACGAAGAGGGAGGAAGGTGAAAGTAACTGCAAACTGTCCGGTCGTTTCTCCTATTTCATCTTTGTACTTTCTCATTTTCTGCAGCTCTGCAGGCACTGAGCCTTCCAGCCCGTGCCACCCCACTGAACCTCCCCAAGTAGCAAATAAATGCATTGATATAATAAGAGCGGTCTGCAGGATCAGGACTACATGGAACAGAGGGGCATACATGCTGCACCCTGCATAGAAAAGTGTTTCTTAGCTTCCCAGATTTGGGATTGTGGAACTTGTGTCTTACACTAGCTCTGATGGTGATTTTGAGGGGTTAATTTAATGCAAGCAGGACCCAGTTCCCCACATCAGCTGAGATCCCCAGCAGCTACAGACCCATTAGTGCATCTCTGAACGCTCTCAACAGTCAAAAAATCAGATGGACGAAATTAACAGCAGCTTCTGCAAATTCAGCTCTGGTTTCCCTCCTCTTTTGCACTAGTTAACAGGGTGTAAATGTTTATTTTCTGGTGGAGCTGTGGTTTGGGACATAGCAAAGAGCCTCAGATTGAGGGTCAAGGGACAGAGGTTGTATTTCTGGCTCAGAACAGGTAATTCTGACAGAGCCGTCTCTCCTGTGCACAACAGGAATACTTCTCTTTGTGTTTAAGCATCCAGAGCTCTGCCGACAGGAAGGCTAGGTAGCTCCCAAGGAGAGATCATAAGGTGCAGCTCTTCAGAACTGAGGGCTCTGAGCTTGAACTTGTACCCCGCCAGGCAGCAGGAAATATCTTGTTTAGTGTGCAGAGCACTGGCCCTCTTCCCGAATCTGCTGGGTAATACTCTGAAACTGGTGGGGAGAAGGAGGAGGACCTCTCTTGCTTTTTCCCCATCTCTTTATAAAGCCTAATAATAAAAGAAATGTTTCCCAGCTTCTGCCCAGCTAGATCTCTTAGTTCCTGCCTGAAAACAACTTTCAATATTTAACTGTTGCTGGAAAACAGCAGATCCATCACTAACTATCTCCTGGGAATCTGCATCCCTGGCCAGGCTGCCGTACCTGTCCTCCTCCGGGGTTGGATGGAGACTGAGGATTTTTGAGCAAGTCCTTTCCTACAGAAGCAACCCACTCTGCACCAAGTCCGGCCCCATTCCTTGTGCTGCCAAGCCTCCAAGAACAGCCTGTGGACTCCCTTAAATGCCCCAAGGAAGCCCAGAGCTAATAACCAGCTTCATTCAATTCCCAGTCACATTATTATCCAATCTGCCAGAGGCATTAATATTCAGAGGTGAGGCGGGAGGAGGGCAGGGGTGCTGGCGAGGGGGAGCGGCACACAAAGGGGAGGAAGGGAAGCGCGCAGGCCGGCCTCAGAAATCCTCTTTCTCCAGCTGTCTGAAGCCCCAGCCCATTTCAGCCGGGTGTTGACAAGAGAGGGTTTTTTCTACGGCCTCAGCACTAACTCTGATGCCAGCTGGTGGTGGCTGTGCCCCTGCCAACAGCAAATGCCTGGGCTTGGCACAGCCTGATGCCCTTGGCCCCGGTAAGAGGGAGAGCTTTGCCCCCTCTGCCATTGGGCCCTAAGTAAATAGCAATCTCCCATTTTCAAACAGCCAGATAATCGCTGAGCCTGCTCAGAGAAGCCTGTTTCTGACCCCCTCTCCCTCCATGGCCGCACAGCCTCATCCCGCTGCCTTCCCGACACAGAGCACACAGCATGAAAATACTGGTTCTCCCCATCTGGGACTTCGCTCCCAGCCCAGGTACCTCCCCTGTCCCCAGAGCTGGGGCACATGTCACGAGACAGACCTTATGTCCCCAGCTCATCTCATCTTCCTTTTGGAGCAGTCTCCTAGATCAGGTTTCTGGCTTTTTCTTTTTGGCAGTCTCCAAAGTCAGCCTCACCTCTCAATCTCAAGGTTTTGGGTAGCATCTGACAGAGAGAGGAGATGCCACTCTTTTTTGTCAACTCTCTGTAGGGTACATTAACCAATACTTTTGCAATCCAGTCACAATTTCCAGATCTATTAACTGCCTGAATTAAGTCCTTATAGAAATATGATAGGTATTAAGTGAGGCAACAGTTTATCTGCGAGAGAGATATACCGGTTTATAAACCAGTGCCTTGGAACAGGAAACAACTCGGGAATAAACGTGGGCTTTCACCGGGGGGGGAGCCTGGGCTGCAGGTCACGCAAACCCAGTAACACCAATGACAGCAGGAAAAACACCAGAATCAACCAAACCCCTCTCCAGAGTGTTGGGGAAAGACACCTCCCTGTGAGGAGCAGCGGGCATGGTGTTATTGTTTGATAACGAAAAAAGAATCAAACCCTGCTCTGCTTCTGAAGACATTTGTGGAGACTGAAGCAGCTACCATGCTCTGCTGGTCCCCCAGGAGCCAGCAGACAGCGCTTTGTCCCTCGCAGCAAGGCACAAACACCCATCCATCCCTCTGCCTCACCAACAGGCTGAGGGACTGAGAGGGATTGCAGGGAACCAGGAAGACCCTGATCCCATTGCCAAAAAGAAGGTCCTTTCCCTGCCTTTGGAAGGTAGGACAGGAACAGCGGTGACACTCCCGAAAGGCACCTTCCTGAGCTGTTGCTTTTAGCATCTCCCGAAATCGTAGAGGCGGTAGAGCCGTTTCATTCCTAGCATCCTCAAGGCCCCGCGCCAGGCATGGAGGACCCACAAAGCTTGTCTGGGGATTGCCAAATTCCCCTCTTTGCCTTTAGCACTAGTCTCTACTAAAAAAAGTGCACGGATCATGGACCAATTGTCCGAAGGCTGCCTCCTTCTACGGCAAAGGAACGGGGAGGCCGGTGAGGGACTGGTTTTGGTTCCTGCACCTCCGGCTTGCAGCACCAACCGGTGCCGCGGCTGGGAGCTCACACCGGGCTCTGCCGGACCCCGGGGCCCTGCAGCAGCGTGCCCTCTGCGGCGGTCCGTGCGCAGCCGAACTCTGCACCACAACAACCCGCCAGCCGGGTGGGAAAGCTGTGCAGGGTCCCGGGAGCCTCGCCGGGGGCAGGCTGCTCCGGGCTGCTCAGCCCCGCCGGGGATGGGGGAGAGTGCACCGACGCCGGCAGCGCCTCTTCGGGGCCCTGGCGCTGCTGGGGGGAAGCCAGCCACCTCCTAGCCCGTCCCCCCCCAGCTGTCCGGCCGCGGGGGCGCCGGGAGAGCGGCCGACAGGTGTGCCCGGCTCGGCGGCATCGGGCCCACCGCCCCCCCGGGCCCCACCGAGCTCCAGCAGCTGCGGCGGAGCGCGGCCGCCCTCCCCCGCCGGAGCCGTGGCGAAGCCGTCCCTCTCTGCCGCTCCGAGGAGGAGGACGGGGGGAATGACAAGGGGGTGCCGCGCTGGCGGGGTAGCTCTTCCCCCGGGGCTGCACTCGTTGAGCGGGGAATTGCCGGGGGAGCGGCAGGCACAGGGCTCCGTCGGGCGCCCGCTGCGATCGGCCGGGCTTCCCGGGCACTCAGCGGGACGGAGGGGCGCCGGTTTGCACCGTGCCTCCACAGCCGGGGAGCCGGCGGAGCCCGTGCAATCGCCCGCAGGTCTGACGGCCGGATCTGCCCGCAGCCCCCCAGCGCCGAGCGGCTGCGCTCTGCCGGGGCGGCTCGGAGCTCCCAGCGGAGCTCGGCGTTTCCCGCCCTCCTCCTTCTCCCGCAGCCCCGATCAGGCGCCCGGGAGCCCCGGCGCGCAGCCGGAGGCGGCGTTCCGGGGCAGGTTCGCCCCGTCTGCGGGGGCCGGCTCGCCCTCTCTCCGGCCCTGCAGGGAGGTCTGCTCTGCTGTAAACAGGAGCCAGCCCGTTACATAAATATCATTTATCCAACTGTCCAAAAACCGTCGGGCTGCCTTCCTTTTCCCCGCCTCTGCTCCCCGCGCCCTTCTCCCATGGATCCTGCAGACAGCTGAGCCGCAGCCCGCGGCTCCGTTATTTACGGCGAGCCCCGACTAATTTAAACAGCCGCTACCCCACTCTCCCGAATGGAAAATGACTAAGTTTAGCAACGGCGGAAGGCTCCGGCAGCGCTCGCCGGGAAAGCGTCCGCAGTGGTCCCGAAGCGTGGCTGGGATGGCGGCACCCCGGTACCAGCGGGCAGGGGACCGCCGTGTCCTGCAAGGGCAGAGCGGAAGAGGCGCCGCGCACCGCCGCCGGGCAGGCAGCTGTAGGGGCAGAGCTGGGGAGCAGCTCCGCCGCACTCAGCCCCGGGACCTATCCTGTGTGGCAGGGTAGGGATCGAACGTCCCGCTCTCCGCCTGCCCCTGGTTGCCGCTCTGTGCCCCGCGGGAGCGGAGCTGCTGGGCAGAGCGCAATGAGCCGCCCCGCCGGGGATGCTCTAGTCCTGTGGCAGCGTGGCAAGGGCTGCGGCCGAGCGGCTCTGCACGGACGGGCTGGTACCTAGGGGCTTACGAGGAGAGAAGGGGAGACCCCCGCCTGGGAGGCCGGGGACGGAGGGACACTTACAGCGGCTCCAGATGCGGGCTCAGCTGGGCGGCCTTAATCCTGCGAGAGGGCGAAGCTGGCCCCCGCCCCGCGGCCCGGGCTGCTCTGCCGCCGTCAGAAAGTAAATCCCCCCGGCTCCCCGGGCACTCTGAGCCTTGCTGCCGGCCCGCGGCTCACGGGAAGGGCGGAGGGCGCCAGCCGACTGCCTCCCATTCACTCTGGCCATTCACTTTATGGCGGGCGGCCGGCGCCCCCCGCCAGCTGCACTGAGCACCCCGCTCCCGCCCGCCCCATTCCAGCTGCGCGCCCGCCGCCGCCCGCCCCGTCCAGCACCGCCCGCCCCGGCCCCGCCCCGTGCCCCGCCCTGCGCTCCCGCCGTCCAATCGCCCTGCGCCTCATTTTCCTCCCGCCGCGCCCCGGCCCCGGGATTCGCAGAGGAGGGCGGTAGGCCCCGCCCCCGCCGCGTTGGCCCCGCCCCTGTCCCTTCGCACCGGGGCTTCCGCCACGGCCGCGCCGGGGCAGGGTGAGCGGCCGGCGGAGGAGGGGGGATGTCGGTCAGTGGCAGGCGTCCTGCCCCATCAGCCCTGGGGCTTGTAGAGGTCTCCGTGTGTGAATACATATGTACACGTACACTTACATACTGTTGTTACCGCTGCCGTTACCATTGCCTGCGTGCGCTGTTCGCTGCTTGGCGATACGGTATCCTGGAGCCCGTGTTGGGCATCCGCACGGGACAGTACTGGCGCGGCAAGCATATTCGGGCTTTACAGTTAAAGTCACCATCCAGGCAGAGGTTTCTGGGGGGGAACTGAGTCCACAGTCGGCTGCTGGATGCGTTCCCCTGCACATGCTGCATGGAGCAGGACTTGCAGGGGATGCTAATTACAGGCTAATTACCGCGCACGCTGTTGCGACTCTCGGCGGTACCGACAAGCGCTTCTTCGGCGATATCGTCCGTGCCGCTTCTCCCGGGAACGCGAGGCTGCCGGCTCTGCGGGAAACACCGCGCTCCCGCCCGCTTAACAGCTCTCGAGGAACACAAACGGTACTTGTAGCTGAGGCTCCAGTCTGGCTCCTCCCGAGGTTCAGGATGGCAGCATCCCGGTGCAGCCGGGCAGGGCGCGATCCCTGCCTGAAGTGTCGCCGAATGCGTGTCCCCGCTGCAGCAAGCGTTGAGCGTTTCTGCACACACATTTCGCTCCGAGCAGACACGTCCCTTCTCTCCCAGAGCTCACAGGGAGAGGTTTGCAGCAGTCGGGGTTGGCCTCTCCTGCCTTGGGATGCCTGAGCCCAGGGGAGAGGTTTATCCCCGCCAGGCTCTTAGGGAGCTGGACGCGTGATTCTACGGTCTGATTTTCTTGAGGTCATTTCCATGTCAACCCGTTCTCCGATTTATGATGCCAAAGGTCACTGTCAGGCTCTTCCACTGACATGTTTTAGAGATTAGGAAATAAATTGCGAGAATAGGAGTGAATTTTAACCCCGGGTGATTTACAAGCCATATTTAGGGAGCCTGCTAAACGCATAACGTGGCATATAGATATGTACAAGAAGACAAATGTACACGAACAAGCACAGGATGTTAAGAGAGGTTAAGAAGACCCAGGCATTATGGCTTACAGTTTAAAACCACACACAAACACATTGATTCAGTAGAGACACAGAGAGTTTAAAAGGAGTCACAATGTTGACACGCTTATGAGAAATTACCATGTTTTTTTAATGGTTGTAATCTGGGGTTTGTGTTTGCCTAACTGCTTTTTTGCCTGCCAAAAATGACAGCAAACTAGACCGCATCTTTTTCCAGCCCAGATTTTAATCAACCCCGGCATAGGCTCATCTCCATCAAGAGAATTGAAGTGTAACAGCACTAGCACTTTCCATGGGACAGTCTGTCTCTGCCACCACAGGCCACAGGGAAGCTCCAAACCCTACTCAGGATGAGCAGCAATGAAGGGACTTTATTTTGAATTGCTTCCTTCTCTCTCCAAACCTTTCATCATCAGTAGCCTGCGGCAAACACAGGTAGCGCTTACGCTTTCAAGTAATAACGAAACAAAGGTGGTTTTAGATATCTCCCTTGGGCAGTATGTCACAAGCTTGTTCCGTGTTGAGCACTGTGTGAAGACTGCTGGATTAGACCATCCAGGGACCTGCACGAGGAGCCTTTCATTTAGGGCAACATCAGCACAACTGCTGGACTGACCCCTGAAGGATGTCTTTGGGAGGGAGTGCTCCAGAGTGTCTTGTTGAAATGCAGTAGCAGATCTTGCTGCTACCAAGAACTTCAGCTGGGTTCAGGAAACAGATATTACAATTTTACATGAAATAAAAAATAAAGGGGAGGGGGGAAGCAAAAGCAAACTAAACCCAAAGTGAACCTGACTCACATCTTGGCAGATAAGATATTCAAAGGGAGGGAATTACTCAGCATCTTTGACATTCTGCATTTTTCACCAGCCAGGAAGAGTTTGTTCTCAAAGAAATTCCCATCTCTGTCACAGGCAGATGCACTCCTCATGCTGGATGTGTTCACTGCTCTCCGAGAGCAGTGGAGTTGTTGATTGTTGATCATGGTTTCCATCTGTGTGTCCTAACTGATCTTCTGGCCATGCTGGGTCCATGCCATCAAATGCCTTGAAGACCAGGACTCAGGCTTGAATTTGGCTTGGCTTCCAAGCCAGAAGGTGGCCTAGGAAGCAGAAGGTAGGTTTTATGCCTTTGTGGTAGCCAGGGCTCCCACTGCAGCATGCCCTTCTATCTGGTATTTGCCAAGTGCTGTGGGCTTCATGCCCAGGTGTATCATACAGCTGTAGTCCAGCCAAGAGGTGACAAAGGTATGACTAACTGAGCCTGGGTTGGTTCTTCCAAAAAACCATGGCTTGGGTTGGCTAAGGAGAGACAATGGAAAACAAAGACAATGGAGAGACAAAGGATGTTCATCAGGAGAGTTCCATGTCACCGGGAAGTGCAGGAGTGTTCCTGAGAAATGGGCTAAACAGAACAGCTGGAAGGGGATTTTAGCCTAAGGAGGCTGCTCTGCACCCTCAATATTGTACTTTGTATCGTTTCCAGAGAAGGGTTTTCATATTCTTGACTCTCAGTTTAGCTCTGCTGCTTCAGAAACCTAAAAAGGTTTTTGCCCTGGTGCATGTTGCACCAGATGCAGCACATCAGTTTTCCTTTGGAGAGCCTTCAGCTGCCTTTGGACTAGCCTCTCCCTGAGCTTGCTCTGGAAAGAAGCAGCTGGTTAGAACCACTGTGTTCAGCATTCAGCAGTGTTTTTGGGATGCTCAGCTCTGGGGAGAGTGGCTGCAAGTAGTTTTTAGCCATGACAATTGCTTCCGAGTCAACTCCTTCTTTCTTCTCTTTTTCTGGAAACCTTACTAAGCCTCTGAGAAATAGCGAAAGTCTCTAAGAGGACAGTGTGAAATTCAAACTCTCTCAGGCTCTATAACCTGCTAGGAAATCTGTGTGTTGCATGTGCCCCTGGGTCTGATACCTACAGACAACCGTGAACTGGCAGGGGCTGAGCAAGAGTGATGGACCGTGCAAAGCTGATGCAGATTGCAGAGGCAGAGGTGGTTTGCAACATGGTTTTGTGAAAGTCTCATCAAAGTCTTGTGGGGAGCAGGCTTTTACTCTGGCATCCTGGACCCAAATGAAGGCAGTTGATGTAGCACATGAGACAGTGCTCCTTGCAAGGAGGTGGCTGCTCAGATGTCTCATGAAAGCGGGTGAGCTCACTGGGTAGATAGGCAAGGCCTGAGGAGATGACTGAGTCTGCAGCCCCTCTGTGTGCTCCTTGTTGGCTGAGGAGGAATAAAGAAGACAGAAACTGCTAAAAAGCTGCATCTTTGCAGTGAGGATAATGCCCACCTTCCCTGATCAGGCAGCTGGAACCTGAGGGATTTGCACAGACTGTGCTTGTGTGGTGTCTGGTTTCATTGTACCACTTTGTATGTGAGAACTAGTGTGTTACCTCGGGAATAAAGGGACTGTCCTGGGTCCTGCTCCTACAACTGGGTCCTTTGGTGCAAATTAGTGCTCCAGCTTGCCCACACAAGGTCTGTATGCAGCTGTGCACCACTCTGGCAACGTGCCGCTGGATCAGGCGGCCCAAGCAGCCCAGGTTTTCCTACTGGTGCCGGCGTGGAGGCGTTGGTGCCGCACTGTCACATCAGCAGGATTTTCTGTGTGGCCAGGGCGGTGCTGGGCTGCTCAAGGGCTGACTAACACAGTGCCAGCAAACTCTTTTCTCCCCAGGCAGCTGAGGCTGTACCATATTGTTTTTCTCTCCAGACAATGCTGGGTTGTAAGTAAAAATGCAAAGCACATTGCAATGTTTGCTCTTTATTAATGCACTAAGATGCATTTGGGTCAAGCAGAAGGCTCCTGGCTGGCTCAGTTTCAAGCTTCGTGACAGGCTTCCATAAATAACACCTTAGGAGGGTTTGATTCACCAGATTGGAAAGGGTGGGAACCTGAGCGTCAGTGGCTGACACTGAGAGAGGCAGGAAGGCAGGGAGAGGGCTACAGACCCTTCCCTGAGAGGGCAGGCAGGCTTGGCTGACCTGGACTGAGCTGCACTATGTGCGGTGCCCAAGCCAGCACCTGAAACCCCCTTCCCTGGGCAGGAAATCACACCTGTGAATTTCCATATGGGTGGCAGATACCACAGGAGCTTCAGTGGCTGCTGGAGCAGGGAGGAAGAGAAGGAGAAAGCACTAGCAACTAATGTGCTTGTTCTGCAAACCTTTGCTCTGTTCAGATGGCTTTTGCAATCTCTCTGCACTAGGTATTTGACCACCTGTTTTATAGATGAGGAAATCAAGCTAAAAATTGCATGCACCATGGCTGCAGGAGAGACTGGGGTGATATATTTTAGCTTCTGAGCCCATGGTTAGACCACTGGAACATGCTGTATCTTGTTCCACTGTTGGAGAATAAATGTGGGTGCTTAATTACACAATTACAGCTTAAAAGTCCAACTCCAAAAACTTCGTAATGCCAACAGATAAAGCCCAGCTGAAGCAGGTACCCTGGTCTCCATCTGTCAGAGCTGGGAGATAACAGCAGTTTCAGTCTAAAGCACATTGATTCTTGATCAGGCAATTTTGGGCAGCTATTCATGTGGAAAGGGAAGGATATTTGGGGGCTGGAGCACCTCCTGTATGAAGACAGGCAGAGCAAGTTGGGGCTGTTCAGCGTGGAGAAGGCTGCATGGAGACCTCATAGCAGCCTTCCAGTATCTGAAGTGGGCCTATAGGGATGCTGGGGAGGGA